CCAGGACTCCCAGGTCCCTCTGGGCAGAGCTGCTTCCCAGCAGGTCAGCCCTCAGCCTGGACTGGTGCATGGGGTTCAACCTCCCCAGGGGCAGCACCCGACACTTGCCCTTGTTGAACTTCATCAGGTTCCTCTGCGCCCAACTCTCCTATGAGCTTCAGACTGCTCCCACCCCACTGGTCCTTTTGGCTGGGTCCAGTATAGCACTGGCGCCCTGACTTACCTTGAGGGCCAGAGCTAACCTGCCCCCACCACGCCAACCTGATCTGGTTCAAGGTGTCCCTGCTCCCTGCAGGGGGGTTGGGCTGGGTGACCTCTGGGGGTCCCTTCCCACCCAAAACATTCTGTGATTCTATCATTCTAACGCAGAAGCCCTGAGAGATGGGCTGCTCCAGAAAGGGTGCCTGGGGCAAAAGGGGGCTTCATGCTGCTGTCCCAGTGAAGCCCAAACTCGGGACTGGAGCAAAGCCTTACAAAATGCTCAGGGACCGTAAGGGAACCAGCAGAGCGGCTGCTCTAAACCCCTTCAGGATGTGGTCAAGGATTAATCCAGGAAAACGCAGAGCAGCAGCCGGCTGGTCTGAATCAGCGCCGTTTATACAGCTTTCCCTGGCCGGGACTGCCCGGTTACGAGGCTGAACACGACAGCCAGGGTGAATTCCTGAAAATGCAATTTTTTTTTTCCTTAGAAGGGAAAGGGAGAAGACGAAAGACCACGAACAGAAGAGGCACAGGTGCTCAGTGGTGGGGATTCGGAACAGATTGGAGTTTTACAGCCAGCAGGCAGGGAGCTTGATGCTGTGGGGCAAGGAGAGTTACCTGACCGAGCAGGGGCTCATCGCCCCAGGCACAAAGACATTTCACATCGTGTCTGTGCCGTAACAATAAACCAGGGGAACATATAACTGCAGGTTATACGGATCCCTAATTGCAGGATCCGTCTTTAACCCTTTGCACCCCTTAGGCCTGACCCCAAGAGGTGCGGAGCGCCCCTTGCTCTGCCTGCTCTGGCCTGAACCCCATGCCCCATAGCGACTGATTCGTCACGCAGGCGTGGGCCATGGTGTTTTAATGGACCTAGAGCCTTTCGCTGCATTGCTTTAATTCTGTAGGAACTCTCCTGGGTCTGAAATTCGGGTGTCAGGTGGCACTGTCTGGACGCTGGGGGCTGGTTGCCACAGAAGTGCGCAGAGGACCTCCAGGGCATGGCAGGAGATGTGACCGGACCCTGTTCATGCATCCCTGTCCCTGTGTCCCCAGAAAGGGATTCACCAGGACACCCTCAGCCCTAAAGCCAGTCCAGGGCCCCAGGCTATGGGAGGTTCAGAGCCGAGTGAGGTGACGGGATGAGAGGCACAAGGTCAGGCACAAGAGCCAGGGTACTCGAGGAACAGCTACAGATTTAATTGAGCGGCTTCTGAGTTATCCCTCAACACAAGAACTCGGGCAAAAGCAATCCAGAAATGGGCAAAAGCAGCTCTTTTATTCACGACAACCTGTCTCCAAGGCAGTCTCATTTAAGGCAGCATTTTTCCTGCCTGTAACCGAGTTGATGGTTTGCTCTCACCCTTGCGGGGGTTTTCATCTGCTCAGCATGAGAGGGGTGGAGGCTCCTGGCAAGAGGGTCCAGCCTGTGGCTGCCTACCAGAACCTCTCCCCTGGGCTGCAAAACGAGCCCACGCGAGCTGTGGGCTGGAGGGGACACCCAAGTGGCTGGCAGGGACACCCAAGGGGCTGGAGGGGACACCCAGGTGGCTGGTGGGGACACCCGAGTGGCTGGAGGGGACACCCGAGTGGCTGGAGGGAATGGCTGAATGGCTGGAGGGGACACCCACTGGTGGGGACACCCGAGTGGCTGGAGGGGACACCCGAGCGGGATGGCTCGAGTGAGGGACAGGCTCGGTGCAGCACTTCCAAGGGGGCAGGGGCTGAGGGAGCCAGGAGGGGTCTTCCAGCTGTGACCAGATGCGTGGGGAAGCCTCCGTCGCAGCATGGTGCATGCTCCACTGCGGGACCGTGCCGCACCATCCCAGCACCACTTCTCCCAGCGCCAAGCCTTGCTTTGCTCTGCCGTGCGTGGGCCGGTGCGGTCCCCCCGGCCACAGCGATGCAGCACAACATCCAGCTATCGCCCGACAGGGGCCGTCGGGACCCCGCCGCCCTGGCCGTGCCCAGCTCCCCCTCTATCACCAGCGGGCAGCCC